CTGAATCACCGTGTTTCCGACAACAAGGGGGCTCCACACACAGCTGTTGTATTCAAGGAAGTCAATCGACATGCACTTGCATTTCTTCGGGTTTAATACCATATTGTTATTATAAGCAAAATCGTTGATATCTTTAACTAAGTAAGGCATTACAGGGGGAGAGTTCCTGGGCACTATCTCAAGTACAGTCAAATCATCAACATATTTTGCTCGGGGGAACCATGATCTAACAAGGTCATTTACCATCACAGCAAACAAGACAGGGCTTAGTTTAGTGCTCTGTGGAATACCACCGTTGCAGTAAAGAGTTGACGACAAAGAGGATGAAATTCTCACGTATTGAGAACGGCCTTCAAGGAACGCAGCAATCCAGCGTAGCATGCTTGGATGAAGGTCATACCCACGAAGTTTGTCCAATAGAATTGTATGATCGATAAGATCGAATCCCTTTCTGAAGTCTGCAAAGAATGAATAGCCAGAGCAGTTTCCTCGGTCCAAGGCATCGAGCAGCAAGTGGAAGATATAGACAAGAGCGTCCGTGGTTGATTTCCCAGCACAAGCGAATTGGTTAGGGTCGAGTTTAGAGAGAATAGATGGCAAAATCCTCTGTAACGTAAACTGTTCCATAACTTTGGCAATCTGACAGGTCAGGGCAATAGGCCTTATATCATCTTCAACCGATTTAGGAGGTCGCTGTTTTGGAATAGGAGAGATAATTGCACGTTTTAAAAGAGGAGGGATGAAGCCATCACGCACAGAGGCATTGTAGATGTCTGCGATAGGAGCGGCCAATTCAAAGGCAAACAACTTTAAGATGGAGTTGGGTAGAGAGTCAGGTCCAGGTGCCTTTTTGATTTTGATGGAACGCAGAGCAATAAAAKCTTCTCTAGGATTCACGAAGAGGCTCTCAGGGATGTCCTCCACAGGGATTTCGTTGACATTCTMAGGGGAAAGAGGAACGAAACCAGAAGTCAACTCTGRGAAGAAATGGTTAATCCTGTMGCAGAGGTCTTGTACAGAGGCAACAGTGCACCCATCTATTAATTGATGGAACCATTCATCATCATTAGTAGACATTMCRGAAAGGTGTTTAACATTCTTCCACCACTTGCCCGTATCAGATTCCTTAAGGCATTTCACTTTAGAGGAATAATAGGATCTTTTTGCGGYTTTGATCGAGTGTTGAACTTGGTTCCGCCAATAACGRAATTGGGTGGAGTCTTTTCCGTGAGTAGATAATGCCGCTTGTCTCTTAGCAACCAAGCCCTTAATGCGAGTTGTGATCCAAGGTTTGTCGGTGCTGTGAAGTCTATTAGATTTCATAGGTAGGAAATAATCAATAGCGGTATTGAGGGTGGTGTTGAAAAACTCGCACTTCTCATTGCAGGACTTTAAGGAATACAGTTGGTGCCATGAAAATGAAGTGATCCAGCGACCGAAAACTCTTAAAGCACTGTCCCTGGTATCGCGAGTCAAGATGGTGCGTTTCGCGTGAGTGACGCTTGTGTTGGTGTTAGATCTTATTAGAACAGAATAATGGTCAGAGGAACCAATCTTCGGAAGCTGCATGGGTGCGGACCACAATTTCGGGTTGTTAGTGAGGCACCAATCGAGAGTTCCTGAGTCCCGCGTAAGAACCTTGACAATCTGAGAAAGCCCGCATCGTCGACGAAATTCCGACGGCGATATATTTGTCGAGGCGGGATTAAAATCGCCTAAGAGGCAGACCAGACAGTCAGGATGAAGGCGCAGATAAGAATCTACCGTAGATTGAACGTGGGAGTAGAGAGACTCGTTGTCACTTGTGGAAGCACTCGGAGGGTGGTAGATGACAGCCATAAGTATAGAAGAGATAGGCCTTGTGAGCCTTCGAGGCCTCAGCTGGAACCATAGCGTCTCTGTCAAAGAACCGGACAATTCGTAGCCAGAGAGTCTCTTGCAGGGGATTGAGGAGCGGACATACGCCGCGATACCCCCACCATGGCTAGGTCTATCTTTACGAAATAACACAAAATCCGGCAGGCTTACAGCGGAATCCGGGATGCATTCCGTTAGCCAAGTTTCCGTAATACCAATGACATCAGAAGAGATGTTAGAAGAAACCGCGTAAACTTCATCGATTTTTGGTGTAAGAGAGCGAACGTTGCAAGCAAAACCGAAGGTAATAAGGCTTTAACATGGTGCCACGAGTTGGAGTCAGAGTGAGCATGTTCCTTTGGATTCGCAGTGTTGACAT